TCCCTCCCTCCCGTTTATCCCCAGCTCTGTCTCAAATCCCACGCCTATTCCCAAAGACGGTCCCCCCCTAATCATTGTACTCAGGTCCCCCTAGAATCTCATGGATTCCATCCAAGCCGGTCTCCTTCCTAGAGGCGACCCATCTCCGGCCCAGTCCAGCCCAGTCCGCCTGCATGTCCTCACTGCCTCTGCCCCCTCTGCACCCCATCCGTGCTCCTCTCCACACCCATGACCAGTCTATGAACAGCCCCCACTCGGACCCCTCGCCCTGCTCACGCCCACACTCCCGGTCTCAGTGCTCACTGGAATCCCAGCTCTGTCTCTGTCCCCACCGCTGCCGTCAGACCTAACGCACCCTCAATCCCAACCCCAACCCCCTGCCCATCCGAGCTTGTGTTTGGATGAACCAGGGTTAGGGTCAGACATGAAACGGCACTGAGAATTAGAAATAAGGAGGTCATTTGGGGGCTCAGGGTGGAGCTAGGCTGGGCACTGATTTGGGGGTCAGGGTTGGAGGTAGAAGTGGGGTTTGGGACAAAGTTGCGCCTGGATGAGCCATCCCAACCTTTGTCCCCTGCCTGCCTCACCGGTTCGTGCAGCATCCCACTGAGATCTCCATAGGGCGCGTACTCCTGGGCGAAGGCGAAGTGCCGGGGGGTCTGCAGGGGTTCAGCCAGGGTCCGGAGCAAGCCCGGGTGTGATGAGACGCAGCGGCCCACACAGAACTCCCTCAGGAAGGTGGTTCTCAGGACCGAGTCCCGGCGTAGGAGCTTCAGAGCCACGGCAGGACCTGCCAGGGAGATGGGGGCAGAAGGGACATGGGGCACTCTGACCTTGCTGTGTGATCTCAGGCAAACCTCTTACCCTCTCTGGGTGGGCTCTGTTTTTCAGAAGATCACAGAGCTCTTAACTTTCTGAGAGCCCCGAACAAGAAGGGTCCCCATTAGCTCTCCCGGGATGCTCCCTATCTCGGTGGCGTCCGAGAACCCTACTACGGGCAGTCCTGGAGTCTGCCTGTTGGTGGCCGAACTCACCCCCTTGGCGAGGCCGGGCGAGGAGCACTTGGCCGTAGGAGCCTGAGCCAAGCTTGCGGATGAGGCGATACTGGACACGCAGATTCCTCGCTGGGGTCACCCTGGTGTCTGTCAGCTCCACAAGCCGTTGGAGGGCCGTAGCTGTGTCCTCCTGCAGGAGACGGACAGAGGTGGGGAGGGGATGAGTCTGGGACCCACTGAGAGAAGTGGGGGAGATTGAAGGCCAACTCCAGGGCTTATGTGGGGGGTCAGAAGGGTGGGGTCACTGTCCCCAGAGAGGAGCATGAGTCACAATGACTCACCCAGCCTCGAGCCACCTGTTTTTGTGTTCTGGCAAGGTTAGGGGTGATTGTCTCAGAGACTCCACCCACTGCCATCCATGGGAGCCCCCAGAAGCCCCCCGTTCCACTGGGGGCTGCATCCGCACCCACACAACCCCCCACTCCACCCATCTCTCCCCCTGTTTCCCATTTTCTCTGGGGCCTTGGTCCTGCTGTGTGTCCTCGGGTTTGTATTATTCTGGGTCTCTGATGTTCCTCTGTTCCTTTGTGCCTCAGGGTCTGCCCTCTGCCCTTACCCCTTCCATCTCTGACTCAGCTTCCCCCTGCTCTGTCCCTTGGCCTCTCTCTTCCTCCCTTGTGTTTCATCTCTCACCTCCTGGTCCCCATCCTCCTCGTTCTCATGGCCCCTGAGCTCCATCTTGGGGCTGCCTGGTGTCGTCTGGCCCTTGGGCTCTCCCTTGTCTGGGCTCCTCAAAAGGCAACCGGCCCACCCAAGCTCACTGCGGGCGCCCTACCCCTCCAAGGGCCAGGAACTTTTCTGAAAGGGCCTGCCTCCGTCTCCCTCTGCATCTGCCTGGGTCAAGAGATTCCTCTGACTGTCTCTACCTGACCCGTCTCCTCCCTTTTTCACCCTCCAGTGTCTGTGGGTCCTGCTCTGTGTTATCCTGNAGGCCTCCCCGCCACCCTCCCCGTTCCAGCTCTTGGGTCTCGGGGTAGATCTCCCTGTCCTGTCCCTGTTGGTCCCTGGCCCCTCTTTCTTGTCCCCAGGCTGTCTCCACTGCTGTCACCACTGTCTGTTACGGGGTGTCCCCCACTCTGCGTTACCCTCCCCTTCTCTGTTTCTCTGGTTTCCCCTCACGCTGGCTTCCCTGTGGTTCCTCTCCCCGGAGTCTCTCCGTCTCTCTCCTGTCTTTGTTCCTGACTCTCTCAGAGTCTTTTGTCCCTCCCTTTTCCTGGGCCTGGGACAGGGGTGTGTGTGACAGCTCAGAGACATCCCGTCCCCCCTCACACCCCTCCCTCACCCCC